TCTCGTATTATTCACTCCGCTCTGGCATTGCTCTCCCCACTGGCTGCTGAGAGGAGGATGGTCGCGCTGGCTGCGGTCCGCTCTTCTTGCAGTCAAACACCGAGCAACTTTCTGCTCTTAAATTATTTCCGTGCACGATGTATTGCATTGCACACTATTGGCATCAGTCTTAATAAAGTGAAGCCGCACTTTTGGCCTGGGGGGCATTTTAAAGGGGTTCCACGATGCTCACAACCAGTTCACATGAACCATGGCTGTAGGCGGGACCACCTGTGTATTTTTCCTGGATGACGCAATCACGTTAAGTGTTACAGCCAATCACGAAAACTTGGTACAGAAAGACGAGGCATGTTTCGATACTCTGTAGAACCGAAGCATTTCGGTCGGTACCATAAAAGAACCGAAGTTCAGTACCCAGCCCTAGGCATAGGTGATATGTAAAAATGATGTTTTAATGTGATTAATCAGAAATAAAGCCTGTTGTTATGTATGCATGAATATTAAATCCCTGACATTTATCCAGCTTTTATGCTTAGATTTTGATTTCTTTTGAGAATGAAACTTATCTGGAAAAATGAAAATGATAGAAGTAAATTCAAAACTTCTTTTGACTTTTTTAAATGGGTAAAAACAGATTAGCAACTGCCAACATTGAAGTTTGTGTTTATTATTGTGAAAAATTAACTGTGCAGGACTCTGCTCCAGAGACACAACTAAAATAATAGTAAAATGGAAAAAAAAAAATGTCCTTCCTGGAGGAACGGTTTGCATTTACTCGTAATCTCTGTCAGATATTTCTACAGAGTTCTGAGAATCTTTGCTCCTGTTTCAGCGCAGAAAAATGCATATTTTCCATAGATCAGGCTCTTGTTCTTTGTGTAATCCGTCACTCCAACTCCTCCTGCCTTCATCTCTGCCCAGTAAAGGCTTTCCCCTATATTGGAGTGAAATGAAGACGAAGCAAAGCTGTTAGAAGCTAAAGCTGAGCCTCGCTCTGTGGATGTGTTTCTTCACATTTCTTTTCTGTTCCCCACAAATTCTTTCTTTTCTCCCTGCCTCGTGTTTCACGAAGATGAAGAACCTTTGGTCTCTGGGAAAAGCCCCAAGCCTGCCGCCGCTCACCATTCAGCGTCGGCCCCCAGATCCGCAAGGGTCAACACTAAAATTGTGGTCTACGGCCCCCAAGACGCTAGCTCTCCGCACTCTCAAGGTCCCCTCTGCAGCACTGCCCTCTTCGCCTCCATCTACCCGCTCCGCTCTTCATGCACCATTTTTCTTTTTCTTTATTTAATTTTCAATACGTTCCCAGACTTCTTAAATTCATACATCATGATGAATGAAACTGTTTTGTTGGCACGTGTTGCATGTTTGGAACATGCTTTCAGTTGTTCTTTTTGCTCTATGTTTAATGTTTGTTCTAAAAGTGGCTGAAATGTATGGGGGGAAAAACAACTCATAAATGGAGATTATTTATTTTGAACCCAATTTACATTGATGGAGTCGATTTTGTTCCATTATTGTTGAAAGCAAAGAACAAGGTTTGTATGTGGAAATAATAATAAAAAAAATAAAATAATAAAAAAAAAATGCAATCCAGAAATAAATAAATAAAAAATAATAACTTTCACATTTTAGGTTTTTTTAGAAAAAAAAAATCCATATTTTATTTTTCAAATAAATCTTTTTCAGAGTTTTCTCTTTCAGATTGAGTTTTACAAAAAAAAAAAGTCTCTTCACTTTTTGGGGCGGGCTTTTCCTCTGGAGTGAAGAGCAGAGACTCGTCTCTATTGGTCAGCTGGACGTTAGCAACAACAATTTTATTTAGTTTTTATTTATGAGCATCAGTGAGGGTTTGTACTGGGCTTGAAATGCAATTTTAATGCAACTCAGTCTGGAAAAAAAATATATAAAAGAAAAAAATTGAAACTATAAAATTTGTAAAGGAAAAAAAAAAAGGAAAAAATGGAAATGAATAATTTTAAGTATTGGAAAAACAGCAACTCTTTTATTGATTAAAGGTTTTTTTAAAATTTAATTTCTTGAATGCATATTTTTCTAAAATGTTTTCTTTGCATGCAGCAACAATGGAACACAATTCACTTTGCAGCAAACCATTACTACTTTATAGTAGCTTCAGTCCATGAGGTCAGTCATCCGACCAGAGACTGACGTCACAGTAAAAGGGTTGATAATTCCTTTTTAACAGCTAGTAGCAAAAACAGACTCCATTAATCGGGCATTGAGAAAACTTTTAATTGAGGTTATTAAAAACATGCAAGATTCAGTAGCTTTTTTAGTTTTATTTCTTATGAAATAAAATAAAAAAAGAATTCTCCAGAGAAATAAAACTTTGCTAACACCAAAAGCATTTTCTTGCCGCTTTATAAGTGTGAAAATTGAACATGATCCTCGTTACAATATATATGTGCTGCATCCGTCTCCGTCTTTTCCTAACTCCACAAATTCTGCTTGGAACAAGAAAACAACTTTATTGTCAACTGTAGTTAGTTTCTGGACTGATTTTGTGTGTGTTTTTTTTTTTAGCAGTGCGCACTAAAGCTGGAGCCGGCCAGAGTGAGAAGAGTCGAGAGCCCTCCAGCCAGAAGGTGCAGCGGCAGCCAAGCGCCACCAGGGGGCAGAAGACTAAGAGCTCTGGCAGCAGTAGTTCTTCCTCACAGATAAACTCCTCCTGAGTGTCATCTGTGTGGGACCTTTTGTAAATATGTAGGTTTGGTTTCGTATAAATAATCTTTTAAAATGCCAGAGTGACAGTTTTACTTCAAAAATGCATTTCTTTTTATTCATTTAAGTGTTTTTTTTCTCATTTGTTTGTAAATGTTATGAGAATATTTTTGAGAGAAGTGTTTGTGAAGAGATGATATAAAGTGACTGGAAAATCTGTAAACCCAAGTCATCTTAATATGCCTTTACAAAAAAATCCAACACAACATGTATGCAATGTGTCTTATTTAATTTCATACTTTAATCCATCTGAAGTGAGGAGCAAATTAACTGGAAAAATCCACCCATGCAAAATAATCGACTGCACTGCAAAGATGTTTCAAAACATGTTTACATGATATAGCAACACATTCCTCTGCTTGCAGATTTCTTTAGTGATTTTAGCGTAAGGTTTGTCCAATGGATTACTCTGTCTTGTTCTGAAAAAAAAAATAAAAAATTCTATCAGTATTGCATATAAATGGAACATGAGCTGCAATGTTTATGGACTGAGGTGACAAAAAAAGCTTAAATCTGAATATTTTCTATTTAAAAACCCAAATGCATTAATGCATTCATGTTTTTATACCAGTGAACTCAAATAAAAGCTCTGATTAAAGTACACATTACCTTGTTTCTTTGTTTTTGTTTGTTTTTTTAAGTTTTGCTACCTTTGGTTTCTCTTTTTCCAAAATTAGCTCATTGATTTTTTATATTTTTCTTATGGAATAATTTGAAAGTAATGTTCTGATATTTACCCAGAAGTCATTAACCAAACTTTGCTGAATTAATTTTCATCGGCAGTTGGTTACATTATTTATTACACTTCAAATTAATAATACATCAAAAGCTCCATTTCACTCAGACTGCATGGAGACCATGCACACTTTTTTTTCTTATTCTTTCCACAGGTTTTCCTGGGCTTTGATTAGGCAACTCTAGCACCTAAACATGCTGGTTCAACCTACGCATTGTCCATCTCCAGGCCTCAAGGACAAACTGCAGATTAATTTGAATCCTTGTTCCAAGTCTGCAGATGAAATTAGTTGAATTAAGTCATTGGTGCAGCCAAGATCTGCAGAGACCTGCTGATAAACCATTACCCGTTTCAGGTGTGTTGATGCAAACCAGGCACTAAATCATACAGCATAGCGATCCTTCAGAACCACTGTTGTCTCTTGCAGTCTCCTAGGTTTTTCCAAGATCGACACATTTTCAGCCACAGAAAATCTTCCCACCAGTGTCTTTTATAATGAACAAGGTGATGATTAGAGTAGGAAGATCTATTTCCGCAGTAGGTCCAGGGCCGGGCAGGTGTCATTTGGTCATCAATTGATATTAAGTGAGCCGTAGAATCAAAGAGCCGCTTTGCCACTGAAAGAAGTGAAATGTTCATGTCATTTAGTTATTAAAATTTGATCTTCCACTAAAAACAACAAAAGAAACTACTACTTCTGGTTTGAAAATGTAAATTTCAATTAACCAAAAATTAAAACATTACCATGAAAGAAATCATCTAAAGGATTAGATACCAAATAAATACCTACCTCTAGTCAAAAGGATGTATTCGGCCGCGTAATGTCGCTCACCTTTATTGGTGAAAGTGACCTGGTTGGTTGATTGTTTGATGATGGGTGTGGCCAAGTTAATCGACAACATGAGAAACTTTACAAAAAAGAATGGGTTCTACGTGTCGGGAAATATGGGATTTAAAAAATGAAATTTGCTTTCAGATTACTGTAGATTATGTACTGCATAATTCTAATAATGGATCTGAATAAACAGCTCTTTAGAGTTATTGTGATTCAAGTAATGTCCCTATGGTCAATAACGGTAGCTCAAAGTGAAATTATCCATCCATCCATCCTCCGTCACATTTAACCCTGCTGGGGTGACGAGGGGGTCTGGTGCCTATCTCCAGCTGTCAGTGGGCGAGTGGCGGAGTACAGCCTGCACAGATCACCATTCCATCACAGAGACAAACAACCATTCAAACACTCACGAGAATTAGATACGGTAAGCAGATTGACATGACAGTTATGTTTTTGGACTGTGGGAGGAAGCCGGAGTACCCAGAGAGAACCCAAGCCTGTACAGGGAGAACATGCAAATTCCTTTGAAAAAGGCCCGCGGCCAGGAATCGTACCCGGAACCTTCTCTCTGCAAGGGAGAGAGTGCTACCCACTGCTCCACTGAGCAGCCAAATGAAATTTAATTACAAAACAAAGTTATGTGTATAAGCCTTTCGAATAAAGTTTAAAGATAAAATAAAATTGGATTTAAAATATCTCAATCTGCATTCATGATTCGGGAATAGTAAATATTTCTGACTTATTTTAAATGAAAATGTTCCATTTCAATCAAATCAGAATTAGAAAACTGGAGCAATACTTAACTTTTTTTTTTTTTCCAGCGCTGAGATCCCACATCTATCAGATGAAAACTCTGATACAGTATCCAAGTTGTAGTATTATGTGTATTATATTAATATGTGCATTATTATTATTATGTTATGTGTATTACATGTGTAATATCTAGCTTTATGTGTTTAGTACGGGGTCCATAGCAGGCCCCTGTCTAGAGCCGCCCATTCTGTCCACAGATTACTGCCAGTTAATTGCAAGTGGGCCTTTTATCTCAACACCTTTCTTTCTGAGGAATTCTCTACTAATAGGGTTCTATCGACCTGAACTATTGATACTTAGGGCCTCTCAGTTGCTTCTCTAATTAACACCTTCTCATTCTTCATTTCCAAATTGTTTCCTTTACTTTTCTGGTTTAATCAGAGTGCTAGAAAATAGTGGTGAGATAACAGCATTAGAGCAAATTACTTCAAACAAACAAATAATCTGATGATGAAGGTTGGCTCTGCTCTGTGAACTCATCTAGATCACCCGGAGATGATTTCACAAAGATGAATTCCTCATAAAATGAAGAACATTAAGTAAACATCCTCTTTATCAGGGGGTTAGACACCAACAATGTCTTCAGTCAGAGGCTTTTCCAGATCTGTGCTGGACAGACTGCTACAGGAGATCCTTTCTGCCATCTAAGAAAGTTACTGCAAATTAGAATTTCCCTTTGGGAGTAATAAAATATATTGGAACTGAATTGAACACATCATTATTAAAGACCCTCAAAGTAACATTGAAGACTGTTTTTCACAATTGAATAGAACATAGAGCATGCTATTCAGGTAAAGTGTATGAGTTCATTAAAGGTCCAGAAAAAGGCTACAGCTAAGCAGTTAGTTGTCTGAACTTGTTGAAATCAAAAGAATAATAAAAAAAAAAACGTAACTGAGCTGCACCATACAGAGGTTGGTAAACTGAACCAAGTCTTAAAATGTTATATCTATCCCAAGAGTCTTTTTGATCTTCCTTTGCCTGATACACTAAACAGGAGCAGATTCAGTTAGATTACTAATATACTTCTGATAATATTCTGGTCAAAATAAATGCAATAATCCATCAATACAGTGAAACAACCTAACTTTGTAAGACTTGTTGGAATCATGATATATATTATCAAAACAAAGAGTCTTACCAAGTGCAGTTGTTTCACTGCATTGGCAGATTATTGCATTTATTTTGACTAGAATATTCTCAGAAGTGGATTCATTTTAATTAAAGATTAATTATTCTAACAATGTTTTCCAGGCCAAAGACCCCCAAACTGATGGCGAGATGGAGCAGGGACCGCCTAATTATATATATTGTATGAAATCTTGTTATATTAAACTGATCCTATAGTCACTCTGCTACAGATGGAGTAATGTAATGAAAGTAATTTCACCATGGGATTATTAAAGTATTTCTGATTCTGACTCCTGGTTGATGGGACAGGTGTTGTAAATGAAACGGTGCCCAGCTTAAAAGATCTCCTGTGTGTCGCTGAATGTGTGCATTGATGACTGAAAGACATCTTCTGCCTCCATTTATCTGTTTACTACAGTGTGTTAAATTCATGTTAATGTGTATTTAAAGTCATTTCAATTAGTGGAAAAAATTGCAAGAGGGAATATAAAAAAAAGTCTAATCAGCCAAAGCTTTCGTGACCCCCATGCAGTACTTCTGTGGAACCCCTAGGGGTCACGGCCCCCCTGTTAAAAACCTCTGATCTGATGGACTATTTAGGTAAATATATTGTAAGACTTAGTTAGATGGACAATATTAGCAATGTAAGGAAGATAAAGAGTGTCATCTTTTGGGCTCTAAGTCTCTAGAAGATCTGTAACATGCCAACCAGCTTTTTAACAGATAGGCTCAGAAGATTTATGTGATTAATATATAAAGAAAAGTTGTTGCTCCTCAAAGTCGAAAGGAGCGAGTTGAGGTGGGTCGGGCATCTGTTTTGGATGCCTCCTGGTCAGTAAGCTGAGCCTGGCTCATTATTAAATCTTTCAGTAGGACAATGATCCAAAACATGACAAAATATTAAATAAATCAGCCTCCCTCCTCCCTAAAACCAATGAGTTACACTGAAGAGAAGAAAGATTAAAAGATAACCTAGGATTCTGGATAATCTGGAGAGATTTTACAAAGGCAAGAATCATGTGAAATATTGAATAGGAAGACTAGTAGCTGTCTCACTACAGACGTTTTTACAAAATGAAGTAGATAAAGTACCATTACTTCAATAAAAATGTAAAGAGTACACGTGAGAGTCTCGTAATGAAGAATAAGGCCAGATAAGAGAGAGAAAACATTTAATCTACAACCTTTTTAAAAAGGTTAGTGCTTCTTTCTAGGCACACAAAGAAGCGTTACTTTAGATCCTTCCTCCCATAACTACTCCCAAAAAAAACACTCTAATGCACTAATTACAGTGCTCGTAGCTCCTCTGTTTTTGACTTTTTTTATATAGACAAAAATACATGACCTTTTCATTCATCTTCTTAGATTATTTTACTCATTTGGACATTTTCTCCCTTTGTTTTGTAAATGTACAGCATTTTTCTTTACATTTACTCTTACGGTAGAGTCACTTTTTCTAGTTTTATCATTTTAAGCTTTAGGTAAAATATCTTCCTATATCCTATATATTTTTTCTGTTTATTCATGACTGTTAATTTGAATGAACATGCTTTGAATATTTCCCACTCCTTGAAAGCATATGTCATTTTGCAGACAGATACTTCAAATTCCTTTTTTCCCCCTTGTTTAGTTCCTTTTTATCTTCTTTTTCTTTAGTATCAAGACTCAAGCTTTTACCGTAGACTCTCCAGCAAAGGAAGAGTTGATTTAATTGTGCTTGTTGGCCACAGATCTGGCAGATCTCAGTTTAACACTTCTTTGTGTTCCTCTAAACGAGTGGCTTCTCCGTCCTCCTTGTCTTCAAAGGCTGATAATTCCAACATCTTGAGAAATTAACGTTTTCTCTGCACTGGGGAGGAAAAAGATTTTAAAGTGTTGCCGACATTGAAATCCCAATTGTACTGCTCTTACAATGACATGATCTTATTGATTTTTTTTCACTATTTTTTTGTGGCGGTGAGAATAAAAGCCAAGAGTATAAGAAGTGGCAGATGTGTTTTTCTTTTTTTCTTGTATGTGTAGAATTTCCTGTTTTCTCTGCGGCCCTGAATAGTTTAATTCTGATCACATGGGGGCAG